GGGTCTTATTTGTAGTTGCTAGAGGCTACATTAAGCTTCTAGCAAAATGGCACATCTCTTGTTCAAAAGTTCAAAATAATTTTGTCTTTTGTCTTGTCTCCTCATTTACTATCATTACAACTGCTGCTGGGTCTAAGCAGTGTCCTCTTCTGTGGGGTATGTGCAGTCCAGGACCCAACAGACTTCACTCTTTATGGGCAAAGGCTGGGAGAGGTTCTGTTGGATTTGCTCTCACCTGGATGTTCTTCGTCTGAAGTTTGGATTTCTCAGATTCCAGGGTATCTCTTGAGTGTTCTGCTGCGACCTAAAACTCAACATATTGGGAATGAGCTAAGTATTTTCTCTCCAAGCTTAATAATTTTTCCAACTTTCTTTATTTCTGCTCTTTTGATGCTCCCTCCTAAAGCATATACCACAATCTTTGATCTGACATTCTCTCCATTGCCATAGAAATAGCCCATCAATGTTCTCCAACAACAGCCATACACAAGCAATCCTAAATCACTTGTCCCCAAATGTCCAGGAATCCTCATGATGACCCTGAGGATATCAGTGTTTAGAAAGGCTTGTCTGCTTGGTGCAGTTTGAGGAACTGTACACAGAAATGGGGACGGGAACTGGCATTGTCTCATGGGAATTGCCATCTTTTACAGAAAGCAGCAAGGTAGAGAACATGGGATAAAAGGGGAAGTATTAAATAAAGAAAATAAATTGTTTTATTGCTTGGATTGGGTTTCTGTATAACCATCTTTTCATTTGTGGGGAGTTGGGGGCATAGAGAAAAAGAAACTAACAATTAAACACTACTTACTACTCACTATACGCTTTATATATAAACATATACATATATATTACTTATTTTACTACATATACTACTAATGAAATGTATAGCATATACATTTTATATAATATAGTACATTTAACCTCAGAATAAATCCATGTTATGTAGATATTATGATTCTATTTTTTATCAATGAAGAAACTGAAGCCAAAAAAAGTTAGACAATGTGTCTGAGGACCCTCAACCACTGAGTGCGAGGGAGAGAGTGAGTTTGCTTCCAGCAGGTTCCTTTCTCTAAGACTCTGAGCTCCTCTCATGAAGAAATAGGTGTCATTTTGCCCAGTGTGTGTGGGGGAATGGAATTTTCACAGCTTTTAAAACAAATTTGGTCTGGAAAGACATGGTGGGGGTGTGCTGACTGAATGATAACCAGGTGCTAGGGGTGAAGTTGAACATCAAATCAGATCCAAGGAACTGTAAGACACTTGAATATATTAAGGGAAACATTTTAAATCAGCATGGAAATGAAA